TGGGCTGGGCTGGGGGGAGAGGGGTCTGCCTGGCCGCGCTGAATGTCCGCGACGCCACTCCGTGCCTTGCGCCCGCCCGGCCGGGAGTAAAACCGTCTTGCCAAGCCACCGCCTGCGTGTCTGTGTCCGAAGCCCCCCAGCCCCAGGCGCCCCCACGTACCCCGTGGTCACCCCTCGGTACAGCCGAGAGCGGTGGGGGGCTCTGGGCAGCCTTGGAGGCACTGAAGCAGTGCCGAGGTGCAGGGTCCTGGAGTCCAGGGCTGGGCGCTGAGCCACACGCTGTCCTGCTGGAGGGGGCACAGCAGCCCCCGGCCCGCCCCGAACGCTCCCCTCAACCCAGGCAGGGAGGAGGAGGATGCGGTGCAGGTGCAATGAGTTTATTCCCAGCTGGACTCTGCGTGGCCACAGGAACCCACCGCCTCATGCCTGGGCCAGGCTGGATTGATGCTGAGCTCCCAGGCCACAGCTGCCCTCGCAGGGGTAGGGGGCAGCTGGGCAGGTGCCGGGGGCTGGAGTGCATGCGGGGTGCAGCGCTGTGCAGGGGGGTCAGAGCCAGCCGTTGCGGGCAAAGGCCCGGCGCAGCGCAGCAGCCTGGTCCTCGCTGAGCGGCAGCAGCGGTGCCCGGCAGGGCCCCCCCTGGTAGCCAAACCACTCCATGGCCTGCTTCAGCCCCGCCACGCCGAAGCGCCGTGTCACCTGGGGCCGGGCAGCCTGTGAGTGCCTGACCCATGCCACCGGGGCAGCGACCCATCAGCGGGGCCACGAGAGCAGCCTGGGCAGCAGCAGGGCAGGGCGCCCAGCTCCTGCCAGCCCAGCGCCCTCCATGCCCCTGCCCGGCTCCTGCCTCTCAGCAGAGGTGGGGAAGGGGCTGCAGCCACCTCTGGGGGGACGCGGTGGCAGTGTATAACGGGGGGAGCTGAGTTCAGGGCTTCTAGGCTGGGAGCTGTGCCCCCCCCACCCCAAATCCCAGCCTATAAATAGGCTTCTGCCTGCACTTGGGGGTCGAGCTGCAGCCGGGGCCAGGGGACATGCTGTTCCTGGCACGGTCCTGAGGGCAGGGCCTGGCTCCTTCCTGCACAGCCCTTCCCGAGGCAGCTGGGCCCGGGAACCCTGCCCGAGGCTCCCCCAGCCCTGCCGGTGCCCCTCACTCCTGACCCGCAGCCCCCCGGGACCCTACCGCCGTGTTGGGCTCAATGAGCCGGTGCTGCAGGTCCCGGGCCTCCTGCCAGCGCCCCTCCTGGCACAGGCGCTCCAGCTGGCACAACGGCGTACCCAGGACGTTGGCAAGCGCGCAGACCCCCCCGACGGCACCTGGGGCAGAGGGGCCGGGCGTCACCAGGGACAGGGGCCCAGCCCTCCCCAGCAACATCCCCATGGCCCCGTCCACCCTCTTCTCGAGGGTCTCCAACACCCCCCAGATCCAGCCCAGCTCCCGGCTGCCCCCACCTACCCACGGCGTAGCTGGCCAGCAGGAAGCCGGCCGACCCCGCCAGCACCTGGAAGTCCTCGCACCGTGTCTTGTGCACGATCAGCCCCAGGCGAGTGATCTGGGGAGACAGGCAGCGTCCCCCAGAGCCTGGCCCCGCCTGGGACCCAACCCCCACATCTGCCTCGAGCCCCCAACTCACATCGCCACCGCTGTCCTTGAGCCCCACGATGTTGGGGTGCGGGGCCAGGGCCAGCACAGCCTCCAGGGGCAGCTCCAGGCCGGTGTTGGCAGGGACGCTGTACAGCACCACGGGCACCGGCGATGCCTCTGCCACCTGCGCACAGAGCCGGCAGGGCTGGGACACGCAGCCCGCAGGGAGCCGCCACGGCCGCGGGGCCCCACGTCCTCCCTGTGCCCAACGCCAGGTACCCACCCCAGGACCGGCCTCGCCCACGCCCACGCCATGCCAGCTGGGCCTGAGCCTTCCCCTGCCCCTCACCTGGGTGTAGTGGAGCACCAGGGCAGCGGTGCTCATGGCACCCCGGTAGTAGCAGGGTGTCACCACCAAGACAGCGTCGGCACCCGCCTGCGCCATCCCCGCCGTCAGCTCAATGGTGGCCTGCGTGGCTGCGGGGGGAGAGGCACGTTGAGAGCCCCCCTCCACACAGGGCCCTCCAGGGCAGCAGGATCGGGCCCACACAAAGGGGATCGGGGCCACGGGCATCTGAGCCAAGGCAGGGGTGAGGGGCCCCCCCCGTCTCACACTCGCATCCGGAGCCGGCCAGCAGGAGGCGGTGGCGGGGCACGGCCTGACGCACGCGGGCCACGATGTCCAACCGCTCCGGCCCCGTCAGCAGTGGGCACTCGCCGTTGGAGCCCTGCACCACGAAGCCTGCGCAGCCGGCAGGGGTCAAGGGCAGGGTGGGGGCAGCCCCCGGCCCCAACCAGGACCCAGCCCAGAGCCCACATGCCCTGAGTCCCAGGCCGTGACGCTGCCCCAGACGCATGTGCCCACGGATGTGAACCGCTCCCCCACCCCAACGTGGACCGGGCCCACCCCAGGCTGGAGGCTGCAGGGCAGAGCCCTGGCGCAGGAGGTGGCGGAGCGTGGCCGTGGCCGTGGCCGTGGCCGTGGCCGTGGCCTGGAGGGTCTCCTCCCCTGGAGTGGTCCGGGCAGCCTGGCGGGACGGTGCGTACACATGCGTGCGTGCAGTCTATACACCATGCCAGAGCTGGGGGGAGCAGCTTCACCCTCTGCCCCTTTCTGAGCTGCCTGCACTGGAGCAAAGTCCAGCCGAGGCTGCATCCCTGGGCTGGCAGCCGGTCAAGGCCACGGCCAGAGCCCAGCTGTGCGCCCCCCCGCGCTGGGCACCGTCCCTGGCAGGCAGCCATGGCACATCGGGAGAAGAGACCCAGCACCTCGCTGCCCCCAGCCCTACGGTGCCAGCACCTGCCCAGGGCACAGGCTCATGTGGCCTTGCCAGGGCCTCTCCAGGGTCCCCAGGACCAGGCCGGCTCTGCCCCGTGCGGGCTGCTTGGAGCCAGACCAGGCTCCATGGCAGGGTCTCCACGAGGTCGGGGCTCCGCCATGCGCCCCTGGCCCGAGGGGGGCAGCACTGGAGGGGCTGAGCCAGTCCCTGCCCCGCACCATGGCTGCCCCGGCTCCGCCGTGCCCCCTGCCCCGCGCTCACCTCGGAAGGGGACCTGGGCGTAGAGGCGCAGGTTGTCCTCCAGCCGGGCGTAGTCCACGCTGCCCTGGGCCGTGAAGGGGGTGGCCAGGGGCGGGTAGATGCCCCGCAGGTCCAACCTGGGCGCCGGCGTGGTGGGGGCGGTGCTCAGCGCCCTGCCCAGCACCCCGGGGCGCCAACCTCGGGCCCCCGGCCGCAGCAGGGCCATGAGTTCCATGGCAGGACTGAGCTCCCAGCTGCTGCCCAGGCCGTTAATGATTGACACGGCTCGTTAGGGATTCGCTGCTCCCTGGCGG